CAAAAGGGGGGAATCATCAGCCTTTTATCAGGAAAAAAGACTCTTTAAATGCTGCTTTCACCAGGGCGCATTCTCCGAATCCGCCCACTAGAATCACTGTGACAACATCTTCTAGCTTCGGTTCAGTAAATAACTCTTTCACATGGTTAATCAATTTGTTAATCGAAACATCGAATAGCTTTTTAACAGTAGCCTTTTCAATCCTCAATTTATCCCCTGTCCACGTGACAATATTCTTAAATCTTGAATTGGCAATTTTTTGTTTCACACTTTCACCGTCAGACTCCGCAAATTCTCTTAGACAAGCAGGGATTTTAAACGCAATTTTCCCAGCTGTATCCGTTGTTATTGTGCGCTTTTTTGTTTCAAATTCTCTTAGAAGATCAAAGTAGTTCGGCATTTCTTCTTGTATGAACTTTTCCATGGCCTTTTCGCCAATAATCTCTTTAAATATTTCTATAAAGGCTTTGTCTACTTCATTTCCACCCCAAGCTCCACCACTTGCCTTATGAAGTTCTTTCAAACTTCCGTCATCCATCTTTTGATGAACAGTTATGTCAGCTGTTCCACCTTTAAATAAAAATTAACACAGAATAGTAATATCCGCAAGGACCGTATGAAAAAAGCACACACTAAGTTAACTTTGTATCATAGTTTGGGGACCTTTCTGTTGAAAATGTGTCAGAGTTAAATCGTATACATATACATGCACAGCGCGTTAACTGGAGTGTAGGTATTAGTTACCCGCATTCCAGATCATGCCCATTGATTGGCTCATTTTTGCTGGGGTTTACTTATTGTGACGGAAGAGAAAGGGAAAGCGACAGGAATATCATATTCTGATGCTCGTTCATTGGTTACTTTTTCTCGGGTTTCATATTGTGACAACAGGGAACGTGTTCTTATGTTTGACTATGATACAAAAGAGAAAGAACATCAAAACACTCGGCAATCTGATTTATACTCGGGGGCTACGCCCCCTCGTACAAATCAGATAGCCTCGTGATTCGATGCTCTTTCTATTACTTGTCAAAGCAATACGTTAATATATTATAAGAATATAAAATTAAAACTTTCATAATCATATCTTTATGGTGGCATATTTCTGCCACCAGATAATCATATAACTAACTAGTTAATAAAGAAGTTACGTAACTAGTAAACCTCTTAATTAACTAATTAGTTATGTGGATAACTAGTTACGTAACTAGTTAATTTTTTCAATGAATAAAATATCATTACGGGAAATAAATGCATGTTAGTGCCTACAACTGCCATCCTTTTACTATTTTACCAGCTTAATATTAAGAGGTTAACTAGTTACGTATCTAGTTAACCCCTTAATTAACTAGTTAGTTATATGGTTATCTGATGGCATTTTATCACAGTATATATACAACTGTACATTTATAAAGTAATTTATCGGATAAATGTTTCATTCAAATTATGCCAACATGATTTATACATATTAGATAATTATAAGGATTATTCGTAATGATGCTGATGATATACATGAAAGAACTATACCTCCTAAATCAACAACCATATAGTTCGCAGACAGTTCAGCATCAGCGGGCGTGTCTTCAGTTACAACTTGACACCATATAGACGCTGCCTCAGGTTCTAAAGCGAGTGTAAGGAAGTTGTTTGGAATGCCAGCCTGTTTGTAAGATAATGTAAATATCACAAAAATTGCAATACAAGTTATATAGCGTATAACAATCTCATTCAAAGTGCATTCAAATGTAATTGCAAATTAACATACATGTACACGAATACCTAACTTTTTACAGAATATTAAATTTGGAATTTCTATTATATATTGAATGAAATCGTAATTACAGTTAAAGATATGCAAATATCTATGTGCAAGATATATCCCAATGAATACGTAAGTATTTGATTTATATATCCCAACATATTGACGCTATTACGAAATTAAATCGCTGTCAAAATATGCAAAAGGGTATTGTATTTGTATTGGACTTTATTAATGTTGCATCAGTATAGTATTTAGCCAGTATAAATCACATAAATGCCGAATATATTAATATTTAAGCACCGCCTTCTAAACAAAATTCTGGAAACAAAGTGATCCCTCGGAAGTATTAATCACAACAAAATTACATAAGAATTGCAGACTCGGTTTGATAACTATAAACCTTGTTTATAGTGGCGGCATGGCCAAGTGCTAGTAACCTAACGATCGCTAGCTGTGTAAGTTCAAACCCGTCAGGGGCAACCGTAGTTCCCTTGAGTAAGAAACTTTACAATCATTGCTCAGTACTGGTTGGTTCCAGGAATGGATTCGAAAGTGTGTCTATAAGCTTACAGCTTTCTACACAATCGAACTAAAATAAATTATGTATAAACTAAACTAAACCTTATTTGCTGCTCTTCTCATGAACTGTTTCGCACGTTCATTCCATATTGCTGGTACTGTCATTACATATTGTATTTCACTCTCCCTAATTCCAATTGTTCTCAGATTTAACGTTTCTAAAGCGTGCTTTTTCAAAAAGCGAATTGAATGTGAAATAATGTCTATCGCTGGAGCACTTTTTCCTGCTATATCTTCTATCGTTGTGTTTATTTGTAAATCCTATAAAACGAGTAAAATGTATTTTATTTAATTTAAACTTAAAACAATGATCAATATTTATATAATACTTCTCTTATAATGAGATAGTCTTCACAAAACACCTTATTTATATAAAGTACTTTAGACTTTGTATAGTAACGCCGACACATGGCCATTATCTTGACAATTTTCTTGGATGATCTAAGTTAACCCTGTCCTAAATTATAGACACAATTTGTCATTTTAACATAACCATCGACCTGCCGAAAGGCTCCTTTCAAAAGCTGGATGACCTCCAATCCATTATCTATTGGTGCAGGGCAAATGACTCGTTGTCAGCGATTTCAACTTTAAATTAGTAGCTAATTGTAAAACTCAAATGAATATTGTTTGCTCAACAAATGAAAATAAAATTTAAAGGAAGGAAAAATTTGTTCTTATTCGTTGTAGAAAAACCATCATTTTCTACATCTATTTCATTACCTTTCCTGTAGAATAGAGACTCATTTTGAACCGTCTAAAAAGATACCAGTCATGGTGTTCGTCATCTTCTGCCAAATCAGCAAATTTGTCCTCAGCTTCAAAACCAAATGAATGAAACTCCTTCTCTGGTGTTAGCAACACTGCTGTTGGACATTTGAGTGACATTAGCTGTGCCGATCCGGCTACCCAGGCTTCATTTGTTTCAATTTTATCCGGTTTATCCAGAAACGAAAATGCATATCCACTATAAGTTGTCCCAAAATCAATAGCAACAACGACTAATGTATTGCTTTTTGTTACCGTTTTGTTTATTGGTTTATTTTCTGTCATATCTGAAGAGAAGATAATAATATCAGTGGTGTTTCATAAACAAAGCAAGCTGATGTTCAAGTCGGGTATTTCAATTAAAAAAAAATGGAGAAAAATCTTTAAATGGCCTAGCCAACATATGAAACGTTGATAATTCATTGACCAGTATCTAATATAGTTTAAAGAAGATTTTAGCAATTTGACTTACTTTTTCTATAATAGACTTGGAACAAATCTTTCCATCAATCCATTTCTTGAAATCTTTACTTTAACAACAATTTTATTCCTTTCAACCGGAGCTACTTTAAGTGTTTTCTAATAAATATACACTATTCTCATAAGGATAATGTTTCAATATCCGATTTAGAAACAGGAAGTATAAAACGCAAGAATCAAAAACGAAACTATATATTCTATAGTTTCAAAGTACTGAAAATTATTTGCACGGTCAATTCAATAGTTTAAACATTTTTCATATTTAAAAAAATGAAAAAAAGTTAATTTACAAGTCTTTATATTAATTATATCAATTATAAAAGTCTTAACCATTATGAAATAATAATAATTATAACTATAATGAACAATTAACATCCCAGCCAACATTCTATATCGGCCCGACATCAAACCGACATGGTTTTCTATGACGGCCCGATGTCGGCTTTAACATCGGCTGCAAATAGGAATGATGTTGGCCCGACATCGGCAGAACAATATCGAGCCGACATCTTAACGATATAGGCCCGATATTTCTTGCCGACATCGGGCCTACATCAAAACAATGGCGGTGCGATGTTAGCCAACAGTAGAAAGATATCGGTCCTATATCGACCAGGTATCATCCTTATGCTAGCATGTTGATGACATCTAGCACCAAGCATTTGGCACAACCTGCAAAAACACAAAATAAAATATAATTATTCTACAAAATTAGACAATAAAGACACATATTTTAACTTAAATGTGCAAATGACAATCACTACCCGCGAAATCATGTGACAAATATTTTCAAATATGATTTTACATCTAAAAAAGAGACAAACAGATAAATTGTGTTTTTCCAATAATTTTAAGTGTAAAAGTCAAATTATTAACAGCGTTTACAGATTTTTTGAATCATCATTACATTAATAAAAACATGCTTTTCATCACCTTCCTTTGTTAGCTTTTCTTTTTGGCGCTTAATCTGTTAATTGTAGGACTGCAGTGAATATTTTCAAGCTTTTCATTTAAGATATAATAAAAGAGTGATTTTTATGTAGTCAAAACGTAAATATTGAATTTAATAACAAACCGCATATCATTTCCAAACTCATCTATGATTATTTTAGAAATTCATATCAAAAATTACAATTATTTGCTGCATGATTTTTAATTCAACAGAAAACGCAATATCGTACCGATGTCAATCCGATATACAAAATACTTGCATTGATAGGTCATGTAGGCCCGACGCAGACCCGATGTATATTTTTTGATCTAACACGAAATGTGGTTGATATTGTTCTAGTAATTGAAATCATACACAGGACAATTATTTCACATTATTAAGTAAACAATGGCATTGCAATTAGAATTTTTCAAAATATTCAATATGTCGGCACTGCAGCGGCCCGACGTCGGCCAATAGTCGGCATATTTTGCCGACATGCCGACATTAATCCTATATCGGCCCGATATGGTGATGCTGGCTGGGATTCGTGTACACATAAAGAAATATAACTGTCATATTTATAATTTTAAGCAAGGAAATTTGTTGTAGAAAAAGTTAAAATTGTGCTATTATGCCCATCCAAGTGTAAATGGTGAGTGTACAGGTAAAAGTTAAAACAATCTTAACTTTTTTAATTTTACATAGAACCCACTTACCCACGTGGCTCATGAAAAATCCCTATAAATATCATACGGAATGTATTGATGAAAAGAGTTGGATAGTCTTTATTTCCAGGAAGTTTTTATATTTAATGCTAAACTTTTTTTATCATCAAATATTGGTCAATCACCAATATAATAGCCACTCTTAAAATATATAGAAGAAAAAGAAGAATGATTTTATTTTCAACTTGTACACAAAATATGGTACATCGTTGTACAATATACATTTACAATATAGCTTGTTCGACTCAACATGGCAGCAGAAAACTGATAATAACGTCACTTTAATAAAAGATGATTATACATTTTAGTACGTGACATATTATCTTGTATCGAAATACAAGACAAATGCTGCCGCTGCTAAAATAGCTATTATTATTTCACTCCTAATAAAATATAATCAATGCACTCTCAGCATTTACATCACGAGATGTTCCAAAAGAAATCAGTACTGGATCAATGTTTTTAAAGACCATATCAAATCGATATTATACCCCATATAGCCTCGGTGATAAGACAACAGTGATTGTAAAATATTCAATATTTCAAACAGATTTTCTCTCAACGTCTCTCGGATTTTACATGTAAACTATGACATTCATTTTTTTCAGTGCGTCAGCTAAGAATAATCATGCAATTACCGGACTTGTAACGTCCCTGATTATTTTAGAAACTTTTCCTTGAGTACCTTCCGGTTTCGTCCAAGTTAATTTTAATTTTCAGAGACATATATAACGACATTTACACAATCTACTTCAGTGAAATTACGAGGTCCGGTGTCTTGAAATTAATAATAATAATAATAATAATAATAATAATAATAATAATAATAATAATAATGATAATAATAAAGACTTTATTTAACGAGATAACTCATTTGAAAAAATAACATCAATCTTCCATGAGACCTTCAACAGAGAACAATATAAATTTAACATATTCAAACTATTGAAATGCATAATTTTAACATACTTGAGAATTTAAAGATAAAGTGATCAATTTGTAGTATGGAGATCCTAACCGGTGCGTGATAACATAACATTTCAAGTATAAGGTTTTAAAATGAAGGCCGTTTCAAATACAAGATACAGAATAGACAAATGACTTACGAAATTGCTCGGTATTCATTTAGTAGGAATGCGCCTCATTATTCATTATCAATGCTCAATGAACAACTTAACGCACTTTGCTAAGATGAGGTGCCGTCCATAGTTGACAATTTTGTGTAAATTCTGTGAATTTCCTCATATCTTTGTCTTTCTTTTTCTAGTTTGTTGGGTAGTATAACCTTGGTCTCTTTTTGCAATTTTTTCAATTTGCTGCTTGTTTTTTTCTTGGGAGCTTGATCGTCATTTTCAAACGTGTGCTTAGAACGTCATTTTTAAATTACTTATACCGATGTACAGAATGCCTATCGGGCTTAAATTAAATAAATACACAAAAATGCAATTTGTTTCGTACACATATGTTGATATACGTGTAGAGAATCGATGAAATATCAGAAGTGAAAATAAAGCATATATTTTTGTGCTGCAAGTCCGAAATTCGGTCCTGTTATAGAAAGAAAATGCAGGCAATCTCCTACGCAGTGATTTCCCCTTATCAGTACACAATCTGCAAAGGGAGGTAATCAATGTGAGGACTTTGTAATGCAGGGTCTTGAATTACATGTACATTGCATGCTGCTATATTTCACATTGTTATCAAACATTTTGCTTTACGACTGGTTAAAAGCATGCACATTCAAATAAGAACATTCTGTAGCTCATAGCTTGATAATTGATTAATATTGACGGGTAATTTGACCAGTTTGTTCCCTTGTTGCGGCTCCTTTGTAGAATGAAGCAGATTTCTCAAAAGTCACTGACAGGCCAAACACAGTTTCCTTAATTCAACCGGAAAACCTGTGTAATATGCGCAAGTACTTGAGCATTTCTAACAAGTTTCTTTTAATTAAAATAACTGGTATTTGGGAATAACTTCAAAAATAAAAACTATTAAAGGGGTGCAACTATAACATAAATCATAAAACCGGGAAATACCAATGATATGCGTACTGCTAATTCCTGTAAAGCTTGGATGGAATTGCATCAGTATCTTATGAAGAGTAGTCTAGACAAGTTTTGTGACGGACAGACACACGGAGGAGAATTGATCCCTATATGTAGCTGCTACTTTGTAGCAGGCTGAACAAAAACTGTAATTTGGACAGTCTCAATTAGTCTGTACTAGTGAACGTTATCTTGAATACTTGTGGTCAATCTGTCTTACAATGTACGATGCTCACAGAACGACCTCAAACTGTTTCCTTGATTGTATCTCAAAATAACGTTCAATGCTAAATATTAAACAATAAAATTATTTGTTTACAATATACTAATTTCAATGTGGACATGTCACTTATTACTTGCGTTTAAACTGTCACATGCACGTGTAGTAAATAGAATTCTCATACGTGCATTTTATTCTCAAGTGGAATAATCAACACATTAGATGGAGGTGTTCATACAGCGAAATGAGAACGTTTGTGTGACGTGCAAATAACCATGAAGATTTTTTTTACAAATATAGAAACATTACATTATTTATAAGACTGTAAGAAACCCCCCCCCCCCCCCCCCAAAAAAAAACAAAAACAAACAAACAAAAAAACAAACAAAAAAAACCAAAAAAAAAAACATAATATTCGTACGGTGGCATAAAAGTAACATTTGCAAATTTATTTTTTGTTTTGTTTTTGATACTTATTTTTATTTTGTTTTTCGTATATATTATTTTCAGTTTTGCATACATACATGTATTTTATTTTAGTTTTGCATGCATATTTTTTTTTAGATTTGCATACTAATTTTTTTTTTCGTACATATTTTTAGCCAATCAAAACAGCCTTTACTTCTCAAAACAGCCCATAGTTGAGAATAAAATATGTATGCAAAACTAAAATAAAATATGTATTCAATACTAAAAAAATATGTATCTAAAATTAAAAAAAATATGTATGCAAAACTAAAAAAATATGTACCAAAAAATGTACGAAAAACAATAACAAAATATATACATGTAAGTATCAAAAAAAAAAAAAAAAAAAAATGCAAATGTCACTTTTATGCCACCGTATATTCGATTGTTTTGCAACAATATCTTGTAAGCCAAGTTATCAAAAGGCATTTTGCCATTATTAGAACATGTAAAGATAAGATGTCGGACTGCAGTTGATTCTAATCAGCAGCTAGCACAAATAGAGTAAACTTATTATAAATTAGAACTGTTGCACAGATGTTAATATACAAAATGTATTATCTGAGACTTGCAGCTTTTTTATTATTTCATTTTACAGGCTTCCACCTCCATCGTTTACATACCAGCCAGCTCTTTACATAATTATTTATTACCTATGGTGACTAATTTCTGCCATTTCGTGTATTCGTGGCTTCGCGCCTTAAAAGTCGTGGGTGAAGGCCAATTTATTGAGTATTCGTGTCGTCATGTCTTCGCCCCTAAAGTCGACAACACGATAAATTGACTTCGCCTTTCGCATTTTGATGCGAAGACACGGCGACATGACAAATATAGGGCGTCAATACAAAGATTTTCACCCGCCGACAAGATAATTCCGCAAAAAAGTCGTTATTTCGCCTAAAATATATCGTGTCTTCGTCTCGACTCAAAAGTCGAAGGCGAAGACACCATAAGAGAGTATATTATCATGTCTTCGCCTTTGACTTTTGAGGGCGATGACATGTTATGGCAGAAATCAGCCACCACTATTACCTGAATAGATGTTTACTTTCGTATCTTCACAATATAAGGCGATATTGCAAAATATATTCATGTACATATTGGTTAGTAATTAGATTGGCAACATCTGCTGCCCAGCTGCTTGGAAACCCATTTGGAAATTCCATTTTCTAAAATTAATAACGGAAATTTTGTTCTTAAAATAGTAGTACGGGAAATCACCATACATCACTTTATTGATTGTGCCTTTTTTTTCACTACATGAACTGATAATTTATATTTCTCTACGTATGTGTGTGTGTGTGCCGGTGCAGTGTAATAAACATACCAAAATTAAAGAAAAAACAGAATTTTAAAAAGCGGCAAAACGGCAAAATCGAAACTGCTGAAAACTCCGTTTGATTGAGACTGTTCGTGAACATAAGTTGAAATTGCAAGCTACCATCAAGCCCCTAGCAGAATTCAACATGAAGACATTAACAGTTATGTCTCTCAACAAATACGTAAAGTAGTTGTACAGCACATATTTTACAGAATTACGAAGAACCAAGGGATCTTATTAATAGCGGAAAAATGTACTTATTAAACGACTTAAATATGAACAAGAAGCCACTTACTGTTATTTGTGTAAAAGTAGTGAAAGCTAGTGTTTATTACAAGATTTGAACGATGTTGGTCACATCACCATACTTCATGCAAAATATAATTATATTTTTAATTATACTATATGCATGGTCTTAATTTCATAGGTGTACATTAAAAATGTCGCTGAATTCTTGCAGTTCCTTGACTTTTAATAAACAAACGGGGTATAAAATGTAGAGTCAAACCATGGACACTACCAGTCATTGGAGTAACAATGTTCCATGCTGTTTCCATCAACTGTTATAAAATATCGAGGTTTATACGTTCTTCGTGACATTTTGTGATTTCGGCAGAAAATCTCGCGGGTTTGTATGTTTTTCGCGACATTTTATGATCACCATACAAGGCCTTGTACTTTCAGACTTTTTTTACTATATATACATAATGAAAATCAATGACCCTGGGGGCGTGGCCAATTTCGACCCTGGACTTTAATTTGAACAATGTTGGTAGAGGTCTACTACACAATGATTCATACCACGTACATATCTGATCTCTATCCTTTGGCGATTCAGAAAAGAAGACTTTTTTAGTTATAACTGTATACATATAATTAAAGCCTATGACTCCCGGGGTCGGGCCAATTTTGACACTAGATGTAAACTTTGTACACATTTTATCATCATCATCATCTTCAGTACTCTCCTGCGCATCGGTCGAATGTTCCACTATCGCTCACTTTCTTACCGTGAGTGTATTCAGTGAGCTGCGAAGGGAGCGTACATCTTCAGTTATCGCCTCACTCTTCATAGAGCATAATCACGACCAAACTAAAACTATGTATATGCACAGAAAATGGGTTCCTCTTTACAGTTAAAAGTAGTCTATTTACATCTTCTTAAAAACTGGTAAAAAATTGCAATGTGTCTAGTTGGTGGAAGTGTGATTCATCAGCGGCGACTTGAACCCCTCCAAGGTTGGTTGCTCAACAACTTGTATGGGTAGGCGATTCCAGAGGACGATAGTGGCCGGGAAGAAGCTGTTCTGGTACACAGATTTCCTACATGTGACCTGGCTGAGTTGTTGTGGGTAACCTCTTGAAATTCTTGCATTACGTAGCGGGGAATCTGGTGTGACATCTACAAGGTCATGCTTGATCTTGTAGAGCATGGTGACTCTTGCCACCTCCCGTCTCCTCTGTAGAATGGTTCAGTGTATAATATCATATACAAACGGCAAAGCCCTGGACCAAGACGGTCTTTTTACATATTGAAACTCCTTTCCTTGCCCCGTGATTTACTTATGCAGCATACCGGAACTATTTGAACAAATTTGAAAGGTGATCACCCAAGGATTATTCCTACTGTGCAGTCACTTGTCTCAGAGGAGATGTTGTTTAAAGAAATTGTTGACGAGACACGACGAATCTCAATAGCTCACCATAAGAACGTTGTGCTCCTGCTCAGGTGAGCTAAAATGGAGCAATCTCATTGGATAGAATATAATTTCAAACACCATTTCAGTAACGTCGTGAACAATTTCTATTCGCATATCGGTTCATCTTGTAATTTCCAAAAGAAATTTGAGCAATCTCACATATCGTTGACTTGCTACTATGCATCAACGTATCGGAAATTTTATTCTTAAATTAGTATAAAATCGATTGATGTTTTATATGATGCTATAAGTTATATAAGTGCACGTGTTACATGTGCACCATAATTGTCATTATATACGTATAGTGAGACATGTGTAAGATGAAAAAAATAACTTAGATTAAAGAGCCAAGACGTTTATAAGGAGTACCGTTTCTTTTAAAAGGCCTACACAATCGTTATTTGATCTACTCTAAAACATATTTGTACGATTTGATGAACATTGTGTACTTTATGACGTAAATTTTTACCCTTTACATTGGTAAGTAATTAAAATTAAGCTAAACAAACTTAACAAAGAGAAAACTAACACGAGTCACTATGTCACGCGCACGAGTTATTGTGGCCTGCTTATGAGTTACTATGTGGTGTGAACGAGATAATTAAGTCGTGAGCACAACATTATTATCCAGCTAGGTGACACTTATCATCTATGAATTTTTGGTCAGACACGCACGGTGCGTAGGAACGGCTGATATGAAAGCAAAAATAATCATTTCGTGCTCACGACAAAGTAACTCGTTGACACGACAGTGCGCACGACTAAGTAATTCATGCGCACGATATAGTATCTCGAGCGCACGACTTTGTATTTCGTGCGCACGAGATAAATGAAGACATACCCATGTCATCTCTGTGCAATCGTACATAATCAATACTGAAAGTCATATCTATCTCCCCTCAGACAATGTAACAAAATGTGTTAGAGCGCTTAAATGGTGGTGGTGTTGTTGGTAGTTTACCCACTGGGTCACGGTAGTAAGACACATTAGATTTACAAACAGTTCGTCAAGCGGGTTACCAATACTTATTGCCTTCACCTTCACGTTGCTTTCATTGACCTGATAAAATCTGTATACATGTTCGAGCAAATGTACAGTTCGTATGACTTTAGGATTTCATTATCAGTCAAAACGAAAAGTGGCCTGCACCGTTCGGAAATCGAACCCAGGCTGCTCGGGTCAAACCGGACCGGTTAGCGCTTAAATTGCATATTATTTTCTTTTTATACTCAAGGATTTGTACTCAATATGCACACCGTAAATATAAGCCAAATGTTTATAAAATATATCAGATTAAGTAAAAAGGCCTATCGCGTTGATGTATATAACCTAACTTAATACACGATTTAGAAATTCCCACTTTTATCGCGTGGTTAACTCTCGGCGTGCATTTAGGCTATAAATAATTTGCACAGCTGTGCATATTTGAATCTGGAAAACCAATCTAAAAATAGTTACCACGGAAATTTAATGCAAAACATATAAAAGATGTCCTAATTTCACTACTTTTCATTAGGATTTAAGCCTGTCTGTAAGTCATTTCGATACATTTAATTAAGAATTAATCTACATGTATATAAAATATTTAAAAAATAAAAATGTGATTTAAAAGTAAATATTGTATAGTATTAAAATGATGTTACATTTCTTTCTTTTTTTATAAAAGCTGATCCAACGTCACTGATAAGAGAGTTTACAGCTATGGCAGCAAATAGGAATTGTATTCGAGATTTGGAGGAAATGCGTGTTGAACTGAAGCATTTTTTTCATACTACCATGTTACTGTTTACAGCACCTCTTTTGGGATATGCTGACGAACTAGATGCTGCATACAGAGGTAAAATCTTCAATTTATATCTGTATAATAAAAATGGCTTCTTATTATTAATGCGGTATCCTCGATACTGATATAGATCCTTTTGATTGAAAAGATATTAAAAACTCAGAATTGATTTTTTCTAGTTGTCTTGGGAAGTTGACTTTTAGTGTTGAAGATTCAATCCTTGGTAGGCTGTTCCCAGGGAAATAAGAAACGTTTGATTTTCTATTCCCTTCAATTTATTTTCACCATGTTAATGTTATTATCATTTGTCGCTTATAGTATCTGTATTTTACTAGAATATTTTACTCTAAGGTGATCTTACTTTTTTTAAAGAATATGTAAAATAATTGTTTATGACTCATTTAAATGGCATATAATGTCACCTACGATATATTTCCAGATATAAAGATTTCTAAAGTATCTGGACAGTCAGGATGTGTGGTAGGGGGAGTCTTAGCTGTTGTAGGCTTTGGACTTTCCTTTGTCACATTTGGAGCGTCTCTTGGCCTCTGTATAGCAGGTAATCAGTTTCAGTAAATTTTAGATACGATACACACGTCTTATTGCACAAAAAACAACAACAACAACGCAACAAAAACAGTGTAACCGACCCATATTTTAATGCTGTAAAAAGGATATAATGTTATTTCCGGAGCGCCTCTTTGTGTCTGTGTAATAGCTTTAACGAAATGTATTTTCATTTGTTTTCACCAGAAATTAATAATAAATTTCATGTTATCGGATGCATATCATTTTAAGTATTAAACAATTTTTCAATTATTCTTTTAAGATATACTATGTTCATCTTTAGGTAAAATACAAGAAATTTAAAGAAATGTATGAAATTCTCAATGAATATGTCTAATATATCCATAACCTGTTTATACCCATAGTGTGAAGCATATCTTCTCTTTGTGTAGCTAAAAGCAAGTTTTGTCTTTAGGATACATTATCATCAAATCTTTATGTTACTGACTCGAGTTAGCTGAAATTCAGTTATCGATTACTGCAAACGTTTTTGTTTTAAGGATTATTTACTTTTTCAGGTGGAATTATTGGAGGCGCAGGTGGGATAGTTACCGGTGGTGCTTCTATAGCTGACGCGGTAAAATCAAGCAAAGCTAGAACAAAGGCAAAAGATCAACTTGATAAGTGCAATACAGCTTTTAACAAAATACTGATGAAATGCAATAGGGTATCAACCCAGCTCGAGAGAGTTGGAAATATTGACATAACCTTTCCGGTCTGGTGCTCATTTTGGGGCAATTTAATGCTGGGTACAGGACGAGCCCTTTCAGGATTTGGCTGGCAAATGGTTGCAAATACTGTTTTAAACGCAATTAGACTTGGCAGAACCGTCGACATTGCATCTGATGTAACATCAGCTGTTGTTCCCGTATTCCGTACACTTGGAAACACAGCTAAGGGGTTTCATATTTTTGGTGGGGTCGTAAGTGCCGTCTTTCTTCCCATTGATATAGGTTTCCTAGTTTCCAATTCGATAGAGCTTCACAAAGACGAATCTCATGACGAGTCAAAGAAAATACGAGAAGCTGTTGCCACGCTACGGAATAGATGTCCCAGTGAACAGGTCATTGATGAAATGATAGATTCGTGCATAAACACATTACGACAGCTTGAAAACTAAATCATACATCAATACATTTCCGATTTACTTTTACCTTCATAATAACCATGTTTGTTAAATATTTAAGGTTATAGAAGCAGTTGCAAATGTAACGATAAAATTTTATAATAATGAATGGACAAACTATTTTTTTATATATATGATATTTTACATTTATTTGCATCTTAAATGTGTTCAATAAAATTGCAGGTTTGAGCCTAAGAGGATGCCTTGAATACTTAATTTATTATTATTTAATGTACATTTTCTCCTGAACCTAGACTTATGTGATAATGGCCTATTTAAAGTAAAACTGTCATATTGTCTCATGGTTCTGCGAATTGCCAAAAATTCATTTCATATGAGAAGTATGAATCAAAATGCATACGATATTATCAAATCTTCCTAATGAACGTAAGCACATTCTTGCGTCTTTGCCCCTAATTCAATTTCACGGACTTGGACACGGTTGAATACTCCCCCGCGCCCCCCAAAAAAATCAACAGAATCCCTATAGAAAGTCCAACACGGCTAAATTAAAAATGTTGCAGCCTTAGTTTGATTGAGCCTGTTCATGGACGGTACTGGAAAGTGCAAGTTACTGTCCAAGCCTCTAGCACCGGCTTAAGCAGAATTCAACATTTAACATGAACTGGTAAAATTTTGAATTTTGAAACATTCGCAGATGTGTTTATATTGCGGTTATCATGGAGCCATCAATGTGACAAGTTAGTGCCATTCCATGAAAAGCGGCATGTGGTTACCAAGTAAAAATGCGTGTGCCCTGAATAAAATGGTATTTCTTAGGGGATCAGAGGTTATGAAGCTTACATATTTTGTCAAAAGACAACGTTAAAAAGCGGGCAACATAGCCTAAGGTTGATTCAACAGTATTCAAGTAAGGAATACTGGAACCACCCGACTAGGAAAAAACGCCCAATTGAAAAGAACTAAAAGTACCAAAAACAATAATGTCTTGCTGAACGATCTTCAACCATCTTTTGAGTCTTTGATATCCGCCACACGGCCACAAATTGTTCACTAACATACAATTTGTGCGATCTTAATGAGCGTACTAGATTTCATAATGATTTACAACCTTATCAAATAATAAAACGCTAAAACGTAACGTGATTTAGTGCAGGAAAAACACTGGCAGTAACAAAAGTTATCATTAGAAATCTAAGGCATTTTCAGAGTTATCACCAGAACTTCAGGACATTGGAAAAAAGGTTTAAATTTGTTAGCTGGAGCTTTATGTTTGCATTTTTGTATTACAATTAAGTATTTATGTATGACAATGATGAAGACAAGAAATAAACAGCTCAATACTTGCGAATTGGCAAATAATTTGGAAATCTTACTCAAAACTATTTTATGCAAGAGGCGATGAAAAATGTATATGAATTAGTTTTGACACATATACAAGGTGTAAGGTAAGCATAATCATTCAAGTTTAATTTAGCACCTAAAACGCACTTTTGAAAAGATGAAAATTACCATTTTTGACGAGTGTTTAATACTCAAACGTCATTAAGTGGTGTGTCATAAACGCGCGAGGTAGTGCACGTTATTATAGCAAGTTACTTTTTAAAATTAGTCGAATTAGCACACGTTTAAAATGGACATAGTGCGGTTTGAAAACATATTGAAGACGTTCATCAGTGCATACATATATACATTGTATTTCACTTTAGTATATCACGTATACATTTGTATATAATTTGATGCACTTTTGTTACTTCCCCTTGTAACCAGCATTGTTCGTCTTCTCTGAGAAAAGCAGAATTTTGAGTTTAGACTTCACTGAGATGTATTTTCTCGGTATCATAAGGTATCTGTTGAATCCAGCTGTCGGCTCTTGGGACCCCATTTTGAAATGAAAAATGTACATGTCAACTCGAAAATTTTGTTCTTAAAATAGTAGACTAGTTGATTTGTGTTATTTAGGCATGTTTTGTAAAATTAGCTTCCGTATATAGTACGTTTATATATTAATTTATTGCATACGATTAATCCAATACAATGTAACACTCCAAATAAAAATTAAGATGATTTTTTCTCTGTATTATAGGGTATCTTTTTAATTACAAAGTCGGCTCTTGGGATCCAATTTTGAAATTCCAAATATACGTACATGTCAACCAGAAAATTGTGTTCTTAAAATAGTAGAATCATTGATTTATGTTATTTTATGTTAGGCATGTTTCCGAATAGTGCGTTTTATTAATTAATGTAGTGCATAATGATACAATTAATCCAATACAATGTGACACTTAAAATAAAAATTAAAGCGATTGTTAATATTTTACTTGCGAGGACAATACATTATATAATTTTAAAATGCTTCTGGCTTGTTTACCTTCAATTGGCAGTTGTGGAACAAATCGTCCAATGATCTGAAAATATCTTGCTTTAAAAGAATCATACTGTTGCTATTCTGATGACAGTAAAAGATAATTAAGATGCTTGTTTTGTTGTTGTTGTGTTGTTGTTGTTGTCATTGTTGTGTTTAAGTGGTTTTTTGTTTGTTTTGTTTTGTTGTTGTTGTTTTTATTTTGCTTGGTTGTGTTAGTTTTGTGAGAATCTTTGTCAATCGGACACTGTAAAATCATATGGAGACTTTTCAGCGTTACTGCGGAGGAAGACAATTAAATGTTTATTATTTCACGAACGAGCAAGCAAAAACCGTTAGTAAGGGGTAGCTGGATCTTAAAGAATCCAACGTCCCTAATGTTATTCGAATCCACAGCAGAGAAGAAAAAAATAAAAGTTACTTACGAGGGAATATATATTTCACGAAATTTCCATTCATCAGTCAAACTATACTGAAGTTAATGTGAAAATATATTGTAATAATTACACATTTTACCTGTAAACTATATACATAAATAGCATAGTTAAATATAAATGATAATAAAGTTAAATCACGCATGGTATAGTCTAATGATTTAATTGAATACATCAAGTACATGATATGAGTTTTCTTTTTAGATTTCCTTTTTCATTCTATGTTTATAAGGTTGTATCCATTGAGTTAATAAACAAAAGAGTAATAGAATAGATAAAAGTTTGAAGAAAACCAGACATTCTTGAACGTTAATATCGTTCAGTTGGTATTGTGATTATTTCACAAATATTTTTTCATAACACAAAAAATGAAATCCTAAAATGGTCAAACTGCTTATGTAAATTGTGATTTTACTGTACAAGTGAAATTGGTACGTTCAGTAACGTTTAAACGTATGAAACGAAAAAATGCGCAAATAAGGTCATCTGTAATGTCTAGAATTCCAATTTATCTAATATTAGTATCGGAAATTTTGTTCTTAAAATAACATTAAATGAGTAAATGCTTTATCATGAGGGAGTTTCCATTAAAACAGATACCTTTTTTCCCACTTGTCTTGATAATTTATGATTATATTCACGAATTGGTAGTGTCTGATCTCACGACAATCGTCTAGTTAAAGCAAATATGGATCAAGCTAAATCCACTAACAATTATAAACACCCAACACATTGAAATTAACTAATCTAACTAACTTAATCAACATATTATATATATGTGATTTTAATTTATTTTATTTTTTAAAGTCATGAGAAATTTCTTTTATTTACAATGATATTTAACACAGACATCCTTGCTGAAAATAAAAAAGATAATGTATGCTAAAGACCACTGAACAGCGTGGCCGAGCGGTTAACACTTGGGACTAGTAATCTAAGAATTTCGGCCGTATAAGTAGGGCAAGCCTTTGATTCCTTGAGCTTCATTGCTTAGCACTTGTTAGTTCGAGAATCTTTCAATAAGTTTACAGCTTTTAACACAATCGAACTTATATACTAACAATGAAAAACATATTTATAAAAAGAAAGATTCCCTAAAGAGTGGTAACTCCCCAATGTATCTTTTGTTAAATTTGCTTGAAATTGTTCGATATTTCATTTATTTACACATGGTCTTTTCTTTAAAACTCTATCTCAAGACATAGATATCCGCCCATTAGAAATTGTTATAAACTATCGATATGCTGGTGGTCACGGTTGAAACTGTTATAAGTTATTATACATGTATTTCTCTTTGGTGAGAGGCTTGGGAGATGGTGGCAAATTTGATGTTAGTCAGATTCTTTTTCAGTGTGCAAACGTAAAAAATATGTCCTTGCAAAATAGAGAAAACGGTAAAGAGAAAAATAGGGAAAAGTCGAAAGCAATGACAAAGTCAAGTATTACACTGAAAACAATGACTAGCATTTATGTCTGTTTCTTTGAGGCACGGAATTTAATTTGCTATTGGTATGCTAGTTCATATGTATATACTAAAATTTATATAAAATGTTTTTCCAGAATTACCCAATTTAATGATGTTGCTTAAATCAAATTAATGTATGACTGTGATTATTTTGAGTCCGTATGGTACGTTTATTTTAGTAAAATGTATATCGTATGTGTACAATTAACTACATTTTAATAGTCTTAGCTTGCCTGTAATGTTCACATATTGTTCCGTGTAAAACACTTATCTCACCATTATTTCGCATTACAATAAACCATGCATGGCCAAAGTTGGACACAAACAGCACGAGGAAATAATGTTTGTATCAATTATGACGATAAACTTAGTTATTAAAGCAGAAAATCGTCTAAACAGAACATAGCCGAGTCTCTAGAGTTCCCTATAATAATTATAAAGTTTTTGTCTTTTTGTGTTTTTTATTGGAGGTGGATTCTTCTTTTATTCAAGTATATGTGTCAGAATATATTTTTTGTATGTTGATTTATTTGTGTATGCTGCTCTGCCTCCATATCTTGTTTTGATAATTAGTCATAGAATTATTATCTCTTCTTTAGATTAGATAACAGACACAATAAGTTATTTCAAAAGTATATAACTCAAAATCAAACATTTTGAGACCCGGTCTTTTTTCTTGCAAGAACGTGCACGAATGGATTAAAATTTCTTAATTTTCTCACTTGGCATAAGCAACTATGTTACTGGAATAACTTAATTTCATAGGCAACTATTCTCCCTATTAACCCATCTTCTCCCGTTCTTTACCCTACCCTCCACCATCTGTTCCCCTCCTTTTCCCCTTACACCCTTTATCCCTTTAATTCCTGTATTGGCACCTTTTAGTTCTTATCATTTCATTTATTACATATCCCCTTTTCTCCTTTCGCTGCCCTTGTGTCTTCTTCCAATTTTTAGTTCGGTGCCTTCTAAGTGCCGTATTAGTGTGACTGGAATATGTTGGGCTGCGTTCTGTGAACGTTGCCTTGTTTTAATTAAGTTTATTCTCATTTCGTTTATGCAATAAAATTTGTGAGCTGACATTTCAGCATATTTTAGCATTTTGGCAGGGAATAAAATAACAAAAACTCACTTTCAGGGCAGTTAACTCAAAGTAATTTGGCGATCCCTTTCTTTTTTTCTTCATAAAATTGTTTCAATTATGCTTTCCTGTCATTTTGCTAAGACAAATCGTTGCAATGATTAATATTCTATTTCTTTGCTTATGTAAAAAGATTGTGTAGTATTGTTGGCTTTGTGAATATCAATAAGCGGATGTCTGTCTTTCAAACATTATCAAATGTTTTTGCGATACAGATACTAAATTTCCATAATATCTGCAAAAAGATAGCCTCGGGTATTTCTATCTTTCTTTCTCTTCTTTTTTTTGCGTGATCAATAGTTTAGAAAATCCCACTTTTATTGCTTAGTTTTTTTTTTAAATTAAACTCTATCATAGTTTCAGAAGTGCATTAAATATTGCTTTTATTACGAGCAGTTCATATCAGTGTTTTTTGTGCGCTACATTTATATTTGCATATCTAAAAATAGTTATAATGGAAAATGTATTTTAAAAATGATGTGTATAAAATGTACCTCCTTTCAATTTTGATTTACTTTTAATCAGGATATACGACTCTAAGTTATGTTCCCTTTGATTTTTTTAGGTTTGTTACAGACAAGTAATACAGTAAAGCCTTATTCAAACTATTGCATTATATTTCAAGTGAAATACGTGGTTTGAAAATTTACAACGCATTTACAATATAATATTATTTTATTAGCTGTACAGGTGCAAATCTCTCCGTCTGGCCACGAACTAGTTCACCCACCCAATATCCTTGTACAACCCACACAAATATGGATAAGATAAAATCACTTGAAACATAACAGATATAATTGTTTACAATATCAAAATTTTTTAAAAAAATGGTTCATCCATTAAAACAATTCTCCGCTTATTGTTCAGTGCAAATATTCACTCGTAAATAGCTTTGATATGCATAACCTCGTAATTTGGCGACCAATAATCTAAAACTTTTGTAGCAAACTTTAGTGCATATCTTACCTTTAATGGGAGAAAAAGGTCATTATATTCATAAATCATTGTATCTGAAAGTGTCTGAAAGTGTTTTTAAATACCTGATTGCATTATTTTTGTAAAATAGAGCAAAAAGCGAAGTTTTGGATACGCTGTGAAAATATGTATTATTTTTCTCGTAAAGCCCAGCAAGTTGTTTTGTCTTTTATTTGTGATATATTTTTCTGCCCCCACCCCGAAGGGCTGCATAAAGTAATCGTACTGTCCGTCCGTCCGATAATCTTGTCCGCGCTTTATCTCCAAAACCACTTGGGAAAATTCAGTGTGATCACTACCATCCATAGCTGTGCATATCACCGGTACGTTCAGCTCCGCTGCACAAAATGGCTGCCAGAGCTATAAATAGAAATTTTTGTCCACGCCTGGTGATTTACATACGTATGCATCACTTTAAAACTAGTTACGTAACTGAAATTTAGTATCGGATTAATAAATGGTTAATCATCGCTATAATACTATAAGTTATATAAGTGCACGTGTTACATGTGCACCATAATTGTCATTATATACATATAGTGAGACATGTGTAAGATGCTAAATTAGCTTAAATTAAAGAGCCGAGACTTTTATTAGGAGTACGATTTCTTTTGACAGGCCAATAAAATTATTTTCTCAACCCTAAAACATTGTTTGTACAATTTTATGAACATTGTGTACGTACCTTATGACGAAAATGTATACCCGTTATTTTTTAGGTATTAGAATTAAGCTAAACAAAATTAGCAAAGAGAAAATTAAGTCGTACACAAGAGTCACTATTTCGTGTGTAAGAGTTACTGTGGCCTGCTCACGAGTCACTATTTGGTGTGAACGAGATAATTAAGTCCTGCGCAAAAAATAATTACCCCGTCGTTTAACTTTGAATTTATAAATTTTTTTCAAAAACAGGGTGTTAATATGGGGCGAAAAAATTTTTTTCGTGTAGTTAGTAATCGTGCACTCGATTTAATTAAAAGTGCGCACAGCTTAGTAACTCGTGCGCATAGTATAGTACCTCATGCGCACGACCCTGTATCTCGTGAGCACTAGATAAATAAAAACGTTTTCATGTCACATCTGTGCCACGTATATCATCGATACTGAAAGTCATATATTTTATATATCTCACCTCAGACAATGTAACAAAATGTAAAGCGCTAAAATGGTGGTGTTGGAAGTTTACCCACCAGGTCTCGGCAGTAAGCCACAAAACAGTTCAGCCAAGGCATCGTTCCCAGACAGATAGTCGAGCGGGTTACCAATACTACTTGCATTCACCTTCACGTTGCTTTCAAGGACCTGATAACATATGTATACATGCCAGAGCAGATGTACAGTTCGAATGACCTTTGGATTTCATGATCAGTCAAAACGAAAAGTGACCTGCAACATTCGGGAATCGAACACAGGCCGCTCGAGTGAAACTGGACGGTTGAGCGCTAAAATTGCTATATTTTATTTTATCTCAAGGATTTGTGCTTCATAAAAATTTTTGCTCGAAACTTTTTTGGCTGTAAATTTTGACAAATGAAAAATAAAGGGTCATCGTCAAATGAAACACATAAAATATAAAACTCAATACATATTTGTTGATAATGATTTTCAAATTTCCATTTTATGCGTTTTTTTTGGGCATGCAATGGAATAAAAAATATCTTTGTTTAAATCTGGAAAACCAAATCTTAAATAGTACATTGAAATTTTTATGAAAAAACATAATAAGTGTCCTTATTTATTTTGTCATTGGTTTCACGCCGGTCAGTAAGTTATTTCGAGATGTTTGTTAAACAGATGCATAAACTTTTTAATCAGAATTAATTTATTGAAATATTTAAAACATAAAAATGTGATTTAAAAGTACATATTGTATAATATTATAGTGATGTTACATTTCTTTTTTATTTAAGCTGACCACGAGAGTTTACAGCTATGGCAGCAAATAGGAATTGTATTCGAGATTTGGAGGAAATGCGTGTTGAACTGAAGCATTTTTTTCATACTACCATGTTACTGTTTACAACACCTCTTTTGGGATATGCTGACGAACTTGATGCTGCATACAGAGGTTAATATCTTCATTTTATTTCCTTTATGTACTCTTTGAACAGGAAGTATTTGAAGCAGTAAGCATGATATCCTCGATAATGACATACAAATATCAAAATTAAAAAGATATTTAAGACTTAGAATTGTTTTTATTCTGGTCCTTCGGGATCATTGATGTCAATCATGACTAAACGTATTGATGATTCAATCTTTTTGTTTTTGAACCACGTTTAAGACCCGTTTATTTAAGAAAAAAAATACAATACAAGAATACAAACCATGATAACTTTAGCATTTTCATTGATATGTTAGATAATTAAATTTATTTTGTTAAGTTTTTAGTCAGAATATGTAAGACATTTTAAAAAGTTAACAGGTTCATTCATTTGAAAAGGGGCAAAAGGTTGATGCCAATCATGACTTTACGTATTGATGATTCAATCCTAAATAAGCTGGTACCAGTGATATAAGAAACGTTGCAATTTCCGTTATCATCAATTAATTTTCTCCCTGTAAAATTTATATCATTTGTTGCTTAGTATCATTATTTAACTTGACTATTTTTCTCTAAGGTGATCTAAATTTAGTTTTAAGATTATGTAAAATAATTGTTTACAACTCACTTATTTACAAAATAACAAAATGCATATAATGTCACTTACATTATATTTCCAGATATAAAGATTTCTAAAGTGTCCGGACAAACAGGATGTGTGGTAGGTGGAGTGTTAGCTGTTGTAGGCTTTGGACTTTCCTTTGTTACATTTGGAGCGTCTCTTGGCCTCTGTATAGCAGGTAACAAGGACTGTTACATCAGTTTCTGAAAAGCTTAGATACACACGTCTTATTGCAAAAACAACAACATAAAAAAAGAACTACAACAACAAAAAGCAAGAATAATGCAACAAAAAAGTGTAACCGACCTATATTTAAATGCTTTAAAAACTATAAAAAGGAAATAATGCTACTTCCAGAGCGTCTCTTGGCGTCTGTGTAATAGCTTTAATGAAATGTATTTTCATTTGTTTTTATTAGACATTAATGATATTCATGTTATCTAATGCATGTAATTTTCAGTATCAAACAAGTTTTCATTTGTTCTTTTAAGATAAACTCTGCTCATCTTTGGGTAAAATACAATAAATATATAGAAATATATGGACTTCTTACTGAATATGTCTTATATATTCATACTCTGTTTACCTATAGTGTGTAACACATCTTTGTGTGTAGCAAAACGATGTTTATTTCAAATTGAGTGACAGTATGGCATTTATCAGTATTTTCAAATATCAAAGTTGATCATAATAAGTCTTTAAATATGAGTAGATTAACCCAAAATCACATTAGCATGAAATTAAATAGCATAATGCCTTAAATGTATGTTATACGAGCAAAAGTATTATAAGGTTTCTTTTTTCAAACGTTGATAAATTTCAAATTGATTAATCTGTCTTCTTCGTATATACAAACAACTGAACAAGTTTTGTCTTTATGATACATTATTATCATTTGTTCATGTCATATTTTGATATAACTGACTCGAATTAGCTGAAATTCAGTTATCGATTACTACAAGTGTTTTTTTTTTGTATGAATGTTCTTTTCTTTTTCAGGTGGAATTATTGGAGGCGCAGGTGGGATAGTTACCGGTGGTGCTTCTATAGCTGACGCTGTAAAATCAAGCAAAACTAGAACAAAGGCAAATGCTCAACTCGAAAAGTGCAATACAGCTTTTAACAAAATACTTATGAAATACAATAGAGTATCAACCCAGCTAGAAAGAGCCGGAAATATTGACATACACTTTCCGCTCTGGTGCTCATTTTGGGGCAATCTAACGCGTGCCGTCTTTCTTCCAATTGATATAGGTTTTCTAGTTGCGAATCCGCTTCTCCAAAACGAATCTCATGACATATCTAAGAAAATACGGGAAGCTGTTGCCAAGCTACAGAATAGATGTCCTAGTGAACAGGACATTGATGAAATGATAGATTCGTGCATAAACTCGTTACGACAGCTGGAAAACTAAACCATACATCATTACATTTCCGATTGACTTTTACCTTCATAATAAACATATTTGTTAAATATTTAAGGTTATAGAAGCAGTTGCAAATGTAATGATAAAATTTTATAATAATGAATGGACAAACTATTTTTTTATATATATGATATCTTACATTTATTTGCATCTTAAATGTGTTCAATAAAATTGCAGGTTTGAGCCTAAGAGGATGCCTTGAAAACTTAATTTATTATTATTTAATGTACATTTACTCCTGAACCTACACTTATGTGATAATGGCTTATTTAAAGTAAAACTGTCATATTGTCTGGTGGTTCTTCGAATTGCAAAAAAATAATTTAATATGAGAAGTATGAATCGAAATGCATACAATATTATCAAATCTTCCTAAAGAACGTAAGCACATTCTTGCGTCTTTGCCCCTAATACCATTTCACGGACATGGACACGGTTGAATACTTCCCCCCTCCCGCGCCCCTCCAAAAAGTTAATCAATAAATAAAGAAAAACAGAATCCCTATAGAAAGTCCAACACGGCTAAATTAAAATGTTGCAGCCTCAGTTTGATTGAGCCTGTTCATGGACGGTACTGGAAAGTGCAAGTTACTGTCAAGACCCTAGCACCGGCTTAAGCAGAATTCAACATTTAACATGAACTGGTAAAGTTTTGAATTTTGAAACATTCGCAGATGTGTTCATATTGCGGTTATCATAGAACTATCAATTTGACACGTTAGTGCCATTTCATGAAAAGCGGCATGTGGTTACCAAGTAAAAAATGCGTGTGCCCTGAATAAAATGGTATTTCTCAGGGGATCAGAGGTTATTAAGCTTGCATATTACACATAAGCTGTCAAAAGATAACGTTAAAAAGCAGGCAATATCCTTATCCTTACAGTGATTCAACAGTATTCAAGTTACGAATACTGGAACCACCCGACTAGGAAAAAACGCCCAATTGAAAAGAACTTAAAGTACCAAAAACAATAATGTCTTGCTAAACGATCTTCAAGGATAAAAATATAACCAACTTTGGAGACTTTTGATATCCGCCACACCGGCACAAATTGTTCACTTACATACAATTTGTGCAATCTTTATGAGCGTACTACATTTCGTAATGATTTACAACCTTGTTAAATAATAAAATACTAAAATGTACACATTTTACCTGTAAACTATATACATAAATAGCACAATTAAATATAAATGAGAATAAAGTTACATCACGCATAGTATAGGTCTAATGATTTAATTGAATACAACAAGTACATGATATGAGTTTTCATTTTAAATTTCCTTATTCATTCCATGTTTATAAGGTTGTATCCATTGAGTTAATAAACAAAAGAGTAATAGAATAGATAAAAGTTTGAAGAAAACCAGACATTCTTGAACGTTAATATCGTTCAGTTGGTATTGTGATTATTTCACAAATGTTTTTTCATAACACAAAAAATGAAATCCTAAAATGGTCAAACTGCTTATGTAAATTGTGATTTTACTGTACAAGTGAAATTGGTACGTTCAGTAACGTTTAAACGTATGAAACGAAAAAATGCGCAAATAAGGTCATCTGTAATGTCTAGAATTCCAATTTATCTAATATTAGTATCGGAAATTTTGTTCTTAAAATAACATTAAATGAGTAAATGCTTTATCATGAGGGAGTTTCCATTTAAACAGATACCTTTTTTCCCACTTGTCTTGATGATTTATGATTATCTTCACGAATTGGTAGTGTCTGATCTCACGACAATCGTGTAGTTAAAGCAAATATGGATCAAGCTCAATCCACTAACAATTATAAACACCCAACACATTGAAATTAACTAATCTAACTAAACTTAATTTACATATTATATATATGTGATTTTAACGTATTTTATTTTCTTAAAGTCATGAGAATTTTCTTTTATTTACAATGATATTTAACACAGACATCCTTGCTGAAAATAAAAAAGGTAATGTATGCTAAAGACCACTGAACAGCGTGGCCGAGCGGTTAGCACTTGGGACTAGTAATCCTAGAATTTCTGCCGAAAAAATAGGGCAAGCCTTTGATTCCTTAAGCTTCATTGCTTAGTACTTGTTAGTTCGAGAATCTTTCAATAAGTTTACAGCTTTTAACACAATCGAACTTATATACTAACAATGAAAAACATATTTATAAAAAAAAGAATCCCTAAAGAGTGGTAACTCCCCAATGTATCTTTTGTTAAATTTGCTTGAAATTGTTCAATATTTCATTTATTAACACATGGTCTTTTCTCATAAAACTCTATCTCAAGACATAGATATCCGCCCATTAGAAATTGTTATAAACTATCGATATGCTGGTGGTCACGGTTGAAACTGTTATAAGTTATTATACATGTATTTCTCTTTGGTGAGAGGCTTGGGAGATGGTGGCAAGTTTGATGTTAGTCAGATTCTTTTTCAGTGTGCAAACGTAAATAAATCTTTCCTTGCAAAATAGAGAAAACGGTGAAGAGTAAAATAGGGAAAAGTCGAAAGCAATGACACTGTCTGATACCAAGTCAAGTATTACACTGAAAACAATGAATAGCATTCATGTCTGTTTCTTTGAGGCACGGAATTTAATTTTGCTATTGGTATGCTAGTTCATATGTAGCTGTACATGTATATACTAAAATTTATATAAAATGTTTTTCCAGAATTACCCAATTTAATGATGTTGCTTAAATCAAATTAATGTATGACTGTGATTATTTTGAGTCCGTATGGTACGTTTATTTTAGTAAAATACATATCGTATGTGTACAATTAACTACATTTTAATTGGTCCCTTTTTGAAAGTCTTAGCTTGCCTGTAAAGTTCACATATTGTTCCGGGTAAAATATTTATATCACCATTATTTCGCATTACAATCAACCATTCTTGACCAAAGTTGAACACAAGCAGCACGGGGAAATAATGTTTGTATCAATTATGACGATAAACTCAGTTATTAAATCAGAAAATCGTCTAAACAGAACATGGCTACCTGTCCCTGAATATAAAGTTTTTTTCTTTTTGTCGTTTTTTTTTTGTGTGTGTGTTTTTTTTTTTTTTTGTTTTTTTTTTTTTTGGAGGGGAATGGGGTGGATTCGTTTTTTATTCAAGTATAAGTGTCAGAATAATCATACGGTTTTATATGTTGATTTCTTTCTTTATGCTGCTCTGCCTCCATATCTTGTCTTGATGATTAGTCATAGATTTATTAAATCATCTTTAGATTAAATAACACCAAGGCCAGTCACTCTTCCGACACAATAAGTTATTTCAAAAGTAGATTACTCAAAATCAAACATTTCGAGACCTGTTCTTTTTTTGCAAGAACGTGCACGAATATATTAGAATTTCTAAATTTTCTCTCTTGGCATAAGCAACTATGTTAATGAAATAACATTAATTTCATAGGCAACTATTCTTCCTATTAACCCAACTTCTTCCGTTTTTTGCCCTACCCTCCACCATCTGTTTCCCTCATTTTCCCCTTACACCCTTTATCCCTTTACTTTCTGTATTGACACCTTATAGTTCTTATCATTTTATTTATTACGTATCCCTTTTCCTCCTTTCGCCGCCCTTGTGTCTTCTCCAAATTTTAGTTCGGTGCCTTCTAAGTGCCCTACTAGTGTGACTGGATTGTGTCGGAGCTGCGTTCTGTGAACGTTGCCTTGTTTTGATTAAGTTTATTCTCATTTCGTTTAAATAATAAAATTTGTGAGCTGACATTTCAGGATATTGCAGCATCTTGGCATAGTATAAAATAACAAATTTGAAATGGTCAAAAATGCTCAAAACTCACTTTCAGGGCAGATAACTCAAAAGTAATTTGGCGACCCCAATGCTTTTTTCTTCTTCATAAAATGGTTTCAATTATGATTTCCTGTCATTATGCTAAGACAAATCATTGCACTAGTTAAATTTCTATTTCTTTGTTTGTGTAATAAAAAATGTGTAGTATTGTTGGCTTTATGAATTTCTAATAAGCGGATGCCTGTCTTTGAAACATTATCAAATGTTTCTGCGATACAGTTACTAAATTTTCATAATATCAACAAAAAGATAGCCCCGGGTATTTCTTTCTTCCTTTCTTTTTCTTTCTTTTTTGCGTGATTCATAGTTTAGAAAATCCCACTTTTATTGCTTATTTGTTTATTTAAATTTAACTTTATCATTGTGCATTAAATATTGCTTTTATTACGAACAGTTCATATCAGTGTTTTTTGTGCACTACATGTATATTTGCATATCTAAAAATAGTTATAATGGAAAATGTATTTTAAAAATGATGTGTATAAAATGTACCTCCTTTCAATTTTGATTTACTTTTAATCAAGATATACGACTTTATGTTATTTTCCTTTTGATTTTTTTAGGTTTGTTAAACAGACAAGTTATACAGTCAAGCTTTATTCAAACTAATTCACTATTGCATTATATTTCAAATGAAATACGTGGTTTGAAAATTTACAACGCATTTACAATATCGTATTAATTTATTAGCTGTACAGGTGCACATCTCTCAGCCTGGCCACAAACTAGTACACCCACTCAACATCCTTGTACAACCCACACAAATATGGATATGATAAAATCACTTGAAACATATTAGACATAATTATTCAAAATATCAAAATGAATTGAACTTATTGGTCATCCGCAAAAAACAACATTCGGCGAATTGCCCAGTAAAGAAATGCACTTTCCTAGCTTTGATATGCATAATTTTATAACATGGTGACAAATTTTTAATTATATTTTGTATTATTACTTTTAATAAAAAAAGAGCTCTAGAGATCATTAGATTTATTTGGGTTGTCATGGTAGTGAAGTGTCAGTAAGTGTACATTAAATTACCTGATTGCTGCAAAATGCTACGACTAAACCCCAGGGAATCCTTTTTCTGCTTAAAACAATATTATGTCATTATTACCTCTTGCTATATGTGTGTGTGTGTGTGCGCGCGTGTGTGCGCGTGTGTGCGCGTGTGTGTGCGTGTGTGTGCGTGCATGCGCGCGCGCGCGTGCGTGTGTGTATGTGTGCTTGTGTTGAAGTTAGGGATGGTTTTAATATTTGTTCTCTGGGATTTGCTAGTTTCTGGCCTTGCTATTCGACGAACACCTGTGATGTGGTGTTTATGAATATTTCTTAAAATTACATATCTTCATTTAAATATAATAATACATGTACA